GGCGTGGGTGTGTGTTCGATTCATTTGTCAATCCTCCCCTGTCGTTTGTTTGTCAACACTTCCCTGTCGTTCCGGGTGAGGTTGGTCATTCATTTTGTTTTTTTTTGGCGCAAGCCATTGTGGTGCAGCCTTCGTCGTCGATGTGTATCACACTGGCCATATGCCTGTGCCGGCATGGCGGTGGCGGGAGCCTGTAAGGATAGTACATGGCTGTAAGGCGGACCACAGCGTGCAAGTCATATCACGACATCGTAACATGCAGGTCCTAACATGGCTGGCATGTATTGGCATGGCGGTGGCTGGAGCCTTTAAGAACAGCACATGATTGAAAGTGACTACATGACACCGTAACATGCAGAAAACAGCATGACATCCTCATGCAGTCCCAGTACTGCCGGGCGGCATTTGTCACAGGCCGGGTCGGTTAGTTTTTTTTTTGAGAGGGGATGGCGCAAACCTTCAGGGTGCAGCCTTCTTCGTCGACGTGTTTCGTAGTGTCTGCAGGCATGGCGGTGGCGGAAGCCCTTAAAGACAGCACATGACTGTTGGACATGGTGCATATGCAGGGCACAACATGACATTGCAACATGCAGGGACAACATGATGTCGCTGTACCGTATCACGGCAGGTGAGGCAGAGCGGTGGCGAGAGCCTGTAACAACGTCCTATACCACGTTAGGCCACGTCTGTGATTGCATGCAGGTGTGCACAAACAATGTCACGATGCAGGGTATTCGGGTCACGGCAGTGAATTGGTCAGTGCATCCTACTTTGAGTTAGGGCGAATTAGCAATCTCATCCCCTCTGGATCGGGTATTTCCATGGTTAGGGTGGGGATTTAGAGGGGCGTGTCAGCAATCTCTGCTCGGCAGTGCTGCCGGCATCGTTTTGGCTCTTTTGAGGGGGGGAATAGGGGCTGGGGTTGTTTGAGGTTGTTCTACTTCCAGCCGGGCCATGCGGCGGAGTCTGTCCCTGTCTGGATCATAGGTGAGTGCCGGGTTGCCAGGCCGTTGACTCACACCATGCGTGGTGGCCCCCGTCACGCAGCTGCTTTGGGACTTTTCGTGCGGTGCTCTAAGCCAAGGCACTTCGTTCTCGAGCTCCCTCTGATCCTCAGCTAAGAGCCTGGTGATGAATCCCGGCGACGGAGGTCAACGTCTAGGAATCCCTCACAGACTCCATCACCGTCATATAGCTTGAGGCCCAACTCCGTCCAGCGATCTGCGTTCGCATTCGGACTTTTCTCGTCACTGACCTTAAGAGCATCTAGGGTTGATGGACCGCAGCAGCTTCCGTACATGCCATGGACATAGGGCAACAGTTTCATACCAACGAGGCTTTTGGCAAGACGCTCAGCCCATACTCTCGGAAGAGCGGCTACAACTGGCGAACCTCCGAACCCAAGCCGAATAAAGTGTACTTCATCCACCAGGCAATGTCGCTCTACACCTTGCAGCAACAGCAGTGCTGACTTGAACCCAGGGAAAGGCTCTGTTCTGCAGGACTCGATGCTACTGTCTTCTCGTCCGGCGTGAAGCTTGGTTATTCTCGGGTACGGGTTTCCGCGTGTCTTCAATCCCTCTGAAACAGCTTGCGCAGCCATGAAGTCCTTTAGATAAGGCTTAGTTGCCTCGAGCGGAATACGCGTGCTTGCTTCGACGTTGGGGGGCAACTCCAAGAAGCCCTGGGAAAAGAACCCAGTGCTAGCAGCCAGGTGCGCCGAAAGAACTTCTTGTGACTGCCTTTCGAGACTGTGGGACTTGCATGTGAGGTTTTGAACGTTCGACAACAAGTACGCAACTGCAACCTCATCGGTGAGGACAGAGACAGCTAGGTCTTCACTTCGCTTCAAACCGAGTCGAAACGTGTCGTCCGTGACCCCATCTTTGCCGAATGCCTTTTCTGGCTTGTACCCAACACATTCGGCGAGTGCTCGCATAGCTGTTCCGGCCATCACCTTGGCTCTGTCAGAGACTTGGTCAACGCTGTCACTAAGCCGGGCATAAGCGATCCTCAAGCGTTTCGGTATGTCATGTGGTATGTCATCCAGGCTAAGCTCTCCTTTGGCAGCTGCTATCACGAGCTCCGGATCGAGACCAGCTTTAGATACCGACCGCAGCACCTTACGAAGATCCTGATGTACGATCCCGTCGATGCGGTCTGCGAGTCCCTCCAAACATCCGCCGATATACTGAACCGCTCCTTTCAGCAGCGCTAGCTGTCCCTGGTGTTCTACCACAGGCTCCCCCTCTACCCTATGCCCCATCTTGAGCAAAACAGCTTGAGCCAAAATGGCTACGGTTTAGGGTTTAGGGTTTAGGGTTTAGGGTTTAGGGTTTAGGGTTTAGGGTTTAGGGTTTAGGGTTTCGGGTTTAGGGTTTAGGGTTTAGGGTTTAGGGCTTAGGGCTTAGGGCTTAGGGTTTAGGGTTTAGGGTTCAGGGCCTGCATGGAGCAAGCTCTGAACTTAATATAGCTAGCGCAGGAAGACTGGTTGGCAACTGACAGTACCACAAAACTTTCCATTCAAGAGTCGACCCGCTCCGTGGGCGAAGGATATGTTGGAAACCTGGACTCTTGCCACGCATGCTTCCCAAACATCTGAACGAATTGTGGTCCATAAGCCACATGTGCGGGAACCGCACCACCTCCACCAATGTCTAAAGCGAGATGCAGAGCCAAAAGGTTAGCCTTCATCTACTCAGAGCCCGAAAAAGCTGAGCACAAATTCTCCTGTTTTCATAACACCGGTTGTTCCTCTCCCACACAAACATGAACGACATGTCCCACCGCTTGATAGTGGCATTGCACTGCAGTGCACACTGTACCAAAGGATCCATGGCCAAAGCCATGACTGCGCATGCCTGGAGCTCTCCTGCTCCATGCTTCGGATGAATCTACGTTAGGGTGTAGGGTTTAGGGTGTAGGGTTTAGGGTTTAGGGGGAACTGGGGATCTGCGCATGGGGCCAAGATCTGCTGCGACTTGTCACAAACCGACGTTTGCTCGCAGTCGTACCCTCAACCTCAACACAAAGCTCGCCAAAGTCTCCCTGCAAAAATGCTGCGCAAGTGGCAGTCGAGAATGAACTGCTTCAACTGCCGGCTGCGCTGCAATTGAGCTGCAAAAGAAGCCCGCAGACACAAGAGTAATGTAGTAATGTGTACTACTTGCGTGCGTGTGCGTGAGGGTGTGCGTGTGAGTGGGCGTGTGCGTGCGTGCGTGCGTGCATGGGTGTATGTGTGTGTGTGTGCGAATGTTGACGCAGGCATGAGGTGTCTAACCATGAGCTTAAGGCCTAAGGGTCCAGGGCTATGAACTTCAGGTCTTCTTCGTGCGGAATCGAAACAGCTGGTTTCTTCGAGCCAGAAAGGAATCGTCGAGAATGCGCCCATGCTTGACTCACTCAGAGTTAGCCACAGTTCCATCAGTTCTGAGACTGAGTGCTTGTTCGCTGCAGTTGGGTCATTCCCTGGGCGTCGGCGCTCCACACTCCCGGCTTCCTGGCACCCCCCCCCCCCCCGGTTTAGGGTATTAGGGTTAAGGGCTCGCTTCTTGTTATGTTGTGCTTGTGTTGTTCAACTTAGGAGTGCAGTTCTTTGGAGTAAGACCTTATAACGTCTCAGCATCTGAGGCTTTAAGGTCTGACTGGCAAGTTGAGACGCGTGCAGAACCGCAGAGCATTAGCATCGGGCGTATGAAGATGATGCAAAAATGGACAACAAATCTCGAAACAACTTCTGCATATATACAGCTCCACAACATTCGGCATATAAAAGTGATAAGGGTCTTAAGAAGTCGTCCGTTCCACATCTACACCTGCTTAAACAGTGCGGTTTGCTGGACATACGGTTTTTCTTCATGCGAGAGGTCAACACCTCGACAGTTTCCAACAGTTGCCGTGCACGGCAGAACCAGGTGTCCTTCTTCCAAAACAAGCGTGACTTCATGCACCTAATGAACAGCGTAGGTTCGTTCTTTGGCTGGTTTGCTGGAGCCGCTTACATGTTCATTTTTCAAGTTTGAGCCATCCTGCTGAACCTGTAGAAAAAATCCTGCTCAGGAGCTGGTCAAGACGGGGAACTCCCGAAAAAAAACACAGAATCCCTAGCTCAAGAACTGAAACCGTAGTTCGCAATCACGGTCCAGAGAACAACTTGAGATCCGGAAATCGCTTTTGCAACTGGCCTAATATGGGGGCCTGAATAACTCGAATAGGGTTTTGGAGGGGGGCGGGGGGGTCATTCTAGTATAAATATATAAAGTGACCCTACAAGGGAATACTACTAGGAAATATTCCGACCCCTGTATTTTTTTTGCGTGAACGCAAGACTCCAATCTTACCAAAACTCCGACACCCTTGGGGACCAAATGAGCCCTAAAATTGGGGTCATATACCTATTACTACTATAATTCCTATTCAGGTATATGAACCATAAACCCTTCTAGGGTTCATTTCGTCCCCAAGGACTGTGCACTGTGAGGGGGCAGCCATGGCCCAGACCATGTGCCGTCTCCACCCCCGCTGCCACGTAACACCTGGCCAGAGTAGGGTTTAGGGATGTTTAGGGTTTAGGGTTTAGGGTTTCGGGTTTAGGGTTTTAGGGTTTAGGGTTTAGGGTTTATGGTTTAGGGTTTTTAGGGTTTAGGGTTTATAGGGCCTTAAGGAAATTTAGGGAAGCTCAAGCACGGAGCTTCCACTCTCATGCTCGGCTGTGGGATTCGATCAGCTTCGCACTTTAGGCGCTCCAATGGCACTTCTCAGTTGTCCAGCACTTTAGGGTTTAGGATTTAGGACCTAGGGGTTTTAAAGGTTAACCTTTGGGAATATAGGGGGAATATATTTAACCCAAAAAGGTTAAAGGTTACCTACTCTACTACTAAGACTTCTCTTGCAGCAACATCTTGGCGACAGGTCAGACGTGAAAGGTTGCTTGGGCTGTCTAGGGCTCATCACGCCGCATGGCCACTGCTGCACTTCGCAGCTCAGTGACCCACAAGGCCTCAGGAAAAGAGACTTTCCAAGGCTTCTAAATTGATTCGATTGGCCTTGACCTTGGCCTTCTTTGTGAGGCCAACAAGGGCAGACTGAGTGCAGCTGGACACAGAAGTTCGCCGTGCGCCATGTGGGGCTTTCCTCGACGAGCTGCCATTCGTCTCGCTGGCGGAGTCATGGCCCTCACATCCACTGCCGGCCTTACGCTCATTGTTCACATGCTCCCGCATCTTCCTGCGCTTGATCTCGAGGCTGCGAAGATGCCAGTCTTCAAGGTACTCCTTGTTGACCTCGTGCCAAATGTCGGACTTGTGCTGCCTCTCCTCTGCATCCAGGAGGTAGGACTCCAGCTCTTCGTCGTCTACATCGCTCAGAGACTCCACGTTGTCTTCGGACGCTCTTGGCCGGCCCTGCTCCGACGTTGTGGGCGCCGCGAAGCTTGGGCGCCCGACGATGAGCTGCTCCACCTTCTCCTCCACTGCGGGGTCCTGGCGGCCATCCAGGATCGGCTCGATCTTGTGGTGTGAGGCAATCTCTTTGGCGATCTCCTCGACGTCGGCTTCCGAAGGCGTACGGTTGGTGTACCTGCTGGCCCTCTGTGCATCCACGGGCTGCGGAGCATCCGATGTATCTGCCAAGATCGGCAGCGGCACCGAGGACGAAGAGGATGCCTCTGCTGGTAGGGCTAAGGCCGCTAAATTTCGTTTCTTGACCGGCACTGCCGGAGGCGGCATGGAGGCATCTTCTGTTCGGGTCTTGGGGACATCCTCCAGGGCACCCTGTGGAGTGGCCGAGAGCGACATCTTTCGCCTTTGCCTCATGCAAGGGGGGAGGGCTCTCTGCTCCCCATCCGGGAGCATCTCGGGGTTTGCTTTCTCGAACTGCCCTTTGCTCATGAGAGCCATTGGAGTCTCTTTAAGCTCCCGCAAGCGCAGGAGCAACGTGTCCTCTGACATGCGCACCACATCCGCAATCTCCTTCGAAGAACAGCGGAAACCATGGTAGTACGAGGCGATCAGCAAGGCAGCGCCGACCAAACCGTTGGGTCTGCGACCCACACAAATCCAATCGCGGTGCATGTACTGGATCAGGCGCATGGCAGTATTCTGCACCTTGCGCTGCTGCGAGCCCAGTTCCAGCTGGCGAGCAAAGCGCTCAATAAAGATGGACGGGTCTACGAGAGGGACTTCTAAGCCGCCGCTGCCATGCAGCTGGTGGGTGAAGTCCCCACCGACCAGTCGCCGCATGAGCTTCATGTACACACGCCCGATGGTCTTAACAGGAGCCTGCAGGACGTCGGAGAAGTCAATGAGAAGGTGGGGGGAGCGGTTCCTTCTGCACACTACATAGAGGCAGGCAGCACAAGTGAATCGCTGCTGAGTGCCTGCGTTGAAGTTCATGGAGCAGGCCAGGGTGTACCTTGGGGAGGAAATGAACCCTAAAATGGGGGGTTATATACCCAAGACTACAAAAAATCCTATTAAGGCAATATGGACCATAAACCCTTTTAGGGTTCTTTTGGTCCCCAAGGTACATCCGACGCCCAGCTTCCTGGATTTGCGCAGGAAGTTGCAGCCGATCTGCAATGAAACCCATCCTGGAAAGGCCCTTGTTCCTTAGTAGCCCAGTAACCATATTATAGTAAAGAGCACCCTGTTTTTGGTTGGTTACTTTCATAAGGGAACCAGAACCAAAAAAAAAGGGAAAAGGGTACCACTGGGCTATCAAGGTTCAGAGCCACCTCGTGACTGCTCGGCGCACCAACGAAGCTGAGCCCAGCGCTGAAATCGATGCGCCCACCCATGGGCCGTGCCGCCCCATTGCTTGTGTGCAGGAAGGTCCTAGGCTCCCCTTAGAACCTCAATAAAAATGATATTTTTTTAATATCCCCTTGGGTTTTATAGAAACAAAAGTAGAAAGGTAATTCCCAAGGGGGATGTAGGGTCGTCTCGGTGACCATCGTCCGATCTTCAAGGACTTCGCCACAGCCGCTGCAGACGGAATCCCCGCGAGCGGCGCTGTAGACGACATCCCAGGAGCCACAGAGCTGGCACTGCATGGCTGCCACTCTCACCTTTCCTGGGGCCCTCCCCCAAGAAAGAACGGACCCAAGAGGATAAGGAGTCGTCAAATGCGGATTGCGGATGCGTCAAGAACATTAAGATATGTGGGCACCTGCACTTAAGATTTGTGCTGGGGTCCTCACTTGGACAGATCTCTATGAGTCCAGTGCAGAGCCAAGAGCCATGAATGCAACATTGCGAGACATGCCAGACAGAGTCAACATCGGGCGATCACTGCGAATGCCCATGCCGCGAAAAGGTTTTCTGACACTTGAAGAGCCAGAGGGTAGTAGAGTCTCCCAGCAGAAGTCTCAGAGTTCCGGCGACGGTATAAATCCCCTGGATGTGTGCTTGCCGTCTATAAGCTCCAGCTTACATGCCAGCTCCACGCACACGGGGCCGGGCTCAAGCTGCTCCTGGCTCATCATGAGAAGGAAAAAGACTCAAGGTACAGCATAATCCGAATCAGCAGCACGTATGACACTTGTGTCGGCTTGGGACGGCTTGGTTGCATGCTGTGGCCGGCCACGCGTGCCCTTACCTAGACCTCACACGTGCCGGATTGACACCGGGGGTTTAGGGTTTAGGGTTTAGGGTTTAGGGTTTAGGGTTTAGGGTTTAGGGGTTCCCATGCGATTTGCAGGCTTTACTCGGGCTCCCCGCCGGGAGCTGAATCCAGCTCAGGGGGTGAATTCCTGCCAGAGGCAGAAGCGCACTCAACATCTAAGAACATGAGCCTTAGAGTCCTATGAAACTCCAAGACGAAGCCAGATCTTAGACCATGCCCTCAAACAGTCGTCCCAATGTTTTACGGCACCCTGAGCCAGGAACTCCGAATTCTGTAATCGCCTCATGCCTTACCAGGACGGGCAATTAGACCCTATAACCCTTAAAAAAGGGCCTTTATAGGGCTGTTTATAGGGGTTATAGGGCCTAATAGCCTATCCTGGTACCTTCTGCAGCCACCCTGAATGGTAAACCAAGCTCAAGATTTTCAGGCGCGGTCTCACCGCTCACGCCCTTAGGCCCAATAAGGGCTGGGTCTCTCAGCAGCAGCCGCCGCAAGGTGCGCAAGACCTGCCAAATCCCAAGTCTTTCCTATAGAGCCAGCCTTCGTAACTAGGAAAGGTTCAGTTTCAGGGACTGTGCAAGGAGCTTTTCGGGACTCCAAACACAATCCCATCAGGAGGTCATGGAAAAGGTGTGGGAAGTTCTAGGGCGTGAATGTTAGAGTATGACCTCTTCGAAGCGGACCAGCTCAGCTGAGTCAGCACTTATTATTTGACGGGGCACTGCTGGGTGACTCCTTCTGACTCCCCGAACCAGCTCTCGAAGATGTCTGAAACACCTGCAAACACCGGCAAGTCAAGAGGAAAGCATCCTAAACTCCCTCTTCGCAATCGCAAGGGTTTTTTTTCGGGGCCTGAATAACTAGAATAGGGTGTTAGGGGGGGGGGGGGGTTCTTGCAGTATAATTACGAGGGACCATAGGGGAACATGATTAGAAATTATTCCAACCCCTGTATTACACCTCTCCAACCCTAAACCCTAAACCCTAAACCCTAAACCCCAAAACCCAAAACCCAAAACCCTAAACCCTAAACTCTGTGCCAAGCAACCTCCACTTGGTCTTCGACCGCGGGTCCTTGGCACCGGGTGTTTGGAAGGCCCTTAAAGGAAAGGTTCAGGGTTCAGGACTCAGGGTTTAGGGTTCAGGGCTCAGGGTTCAGGGTTCAGGGTTCAGGGTTTAGGGTTTAGGGTTTCGGGTTAAGTTTCATTTATTTGAGGCTCAGGGGGCTTGGAGTTCTTGACAATTTTTGGCCCTTGAGCTTTTAGATCCTTATAAAGGCCGTTGGCCTCTTTATCTGATACCCTATATACCTTAATGTAGCCCCTAGATACCCTCATAAGAACCCCAATATATACCGCAAGAAAACCAGAAACCATACTTAAAGAGACCACCAACCCATATAATGAGCGCCTTGAGCATTTAGATCCTGGCCGGAAACTTCAGATTCACTTGGGAATTTCCCACAATAGGGGTACCCCCTAATATTTCCCCCAGATACCATAATTCTTCTAATAGGAACCCCCAAGAAGGGTTACCCCTATTTTCGGAAACTCCCACTTCTGGCCTTGGCGCCGTCTGTAATTCCATGCCATAGGTCGCACCCCGGGAGAAAAAAAAAGGCAAAACCCAAGGACAAAACGCATACCAAGCATCGCAAGTGTTGGAAGGGAACCTTTGTCCGTTCGCTGTCCTTGATCTCTACCACCAAGTAGTAGAACCTGAGTTGAGGCTTTAGTGAAGGATGCGTGTGGTGCGCTAGGTTAGGAATTTGCTGGAGCTCCCATCGTGGGGTAGACGGTGTCATCGTGACGCGCTCCTTTGCCAACTTTGCGTGCACCCACATTCTTATCTAGGATGGCCGTTAAAAACCCTCTGAAGAATATTCCTGAATATGATCCTCTTAAACCCAATAAGGGAAAGCATGACATGTCCCAAGGGCCCACCTAGATAATTATAAAGGGGAAGGGCATGTCTCATCTCGAAAGGTGGCTTTCCCACTGGGCTCTTGACCTGACCTTTGACGCGGAAAGAACTTTCTGCCCTATCGGACTTTCGACTGCCGAGCGACACATCCCAGAAAGTAACTGCCTCTGCTATGAGGATATCCTCGACAAACAGGGCTGGCATTTTCTGGACAGAGGTCCATGCTTGTGCAAACCAGCATGTGTGTGTGTGTGGCTCGCTGTTGGACATGGTTCAGCACCCACCCACAACTTACTATGAACTATTCTGGCCGCCAAAGCCTCGATGAACCTCGATGTTCCATAGTCACAAGTTATGAGCCCAATGATCTATGACCCGCTGGCGTTGGCCCTGCATGGTGAAAGCTGAAAGGGTCAATTTATTGCATGCTCATTGCTCGTCATGATTTACGTGCGTCACCCGACCACTCCGAACCTGTATCGATGATGCGCTGATGAAGTCTGAAGCCACGGAGCCACCTGATGCGCATGTGTCTCGTAGCTTCAGCAGCATGTAGGATGGTGTTCGGGACTTAGGTGGAACAAACAGTCCCTAAACCCTAAACCTTAAACCCTCAACCCTAAACCCTAAATCCTAACCCTATCTTGTGAAGCTGTCCTGGGAAGCAAGTGAGCGTATCGCCAAGCAGCTGTGCTTGGAATGCGAGTGGGGCGCTGCAAATTCGACTGGTTTTAGGTTGGCCCAGCCTGAACGTCGCGTGCTCAATTGCAGTCCGAGGCCTTCAATTCCCACAGCGACCTCAAAGGCGCTTGAGTTGGGCTCTTAAGGCAACTTGGCTGATTTCTGGGATGGCCTGCCCGCACTGCCCAATCCTTTTGCAAGCGCAAGTTCAAGACATGTCCTAAGATCTCACCACTTCTTGTGTTCTAGAAACTGTTTCCGAACTTCATGCCTCCTCCACCACCCGCTGCGCCCGTGTCACACGCACCAGCAGAAGCATCACAGCAGCTGCTGCTGCCACCCTGCAGTGGCTCACTGCTATAAAGGCAAGGCTTGAGGAAAATTCCGCTTGCAGTCTCAGGAAATCACCTCTCAGGCTCATCATGATCTACAGACATACAGCAGCAAGCTTGCTCCGGCAATCTGGCCCCTGAAGCATGCGGAACCCGAAGCCCTAAACCCTAAACCCGAAACCCGGCTTAAACCACGACGCAAGATGCGGAAAAACGATGCGGAGGAATGCCCTGTTGCACTCTGTGGCCTGCCTCCAATAGTCCAAAGCAGCCAGAAGCACCGGGATCCCAAACATCCAAAGCCTTGACGGCAATAAGGATGTGGGATTTGGCGCAATTTGATTTTTGCACTGAGTTCCTTGAGTTGATCAGGCTTTGGTTTAAGATCTCTACAGCTACATGCCTGAACCCTAAACCCTAAACCCTAAACCCTAAACCCTAAACCCTAAACCCTAATCATGAGTGGTGAATCTCTCTTGGAAGAAGCACCTTGAACACACTGACCAGGGGGACAGGCTTCGGTTGTAGGCCTTTATGGTCACACTCTAAATTCGGGTCCCTTTTCTTACTTCTCCAATAACCAAGGGGAAAAAAGGTTAAACTTTAATATTCCTACTAAAAAAAGAAACCCAAAAAGTTTTTAAAGTTCAGCTAAATTCGGGCCCCTTTTGGGCCTCAAGAAGGGACCATAATTTTGAGAACTGACCTAGGGGGGGGTTACTTCCTGTTGGTTAGCAGGGAATGAGGGAATGATGTACCCTATAAAATCCCTTAAAGAGTAGATATAGGGCCCTGTCCCTCATTCCCTGCTAACCAACGGTAAGTAAACCTATAGGTCAGTTCTCAAAATTATGGTCCCTTCTTGGGTACCCTTGATATCAGGGGCTTACAACCGTAACCCCGAAAGGGACTCTGAAACCTGACCTGTGGGGTTTCCCTAAACCCTAAACCCAAAACCCTGAACCCTGAACCCTGAAGCCTAAACCCTAAACCCTAAACCCTAAACCCTAAACCCTAAACCCGGGATTGTGCAGGGTCTTCATGGCACTCCTGAAAGCTGCCATAAGCTGCCCAGCAGCCCGGGCCCAGACTCATCTCCTGGATGGTGGGTTTGGGGTTTGGGTTTGGGGTTTGGGGTTTGGGGTTTAGGGTTTAGGGTTTAGGGTTCAGGGTTCAGGGTTCAGGGTTCAGGGTTTTGGGTTTAGGGGGAGTGAAGTGAGAGGCGCCCATACTTTTTTGCTGGGCTTGGAGGGCTCGGAGTTTAGACCCTGCGGGATGAGCTCAGCTTGCGCCTGCGACTTTGCTGCATGCTAGGCCTTCGAGAACCATTTTTCCCTCTCCAGGGATTTTTCGACCCAATTGCTCATCTTGCTCCATCTCCAAAAGTTTTCGTTGCACCCCCAGCTCTTCAGAAAGCTACTCTTGTTAGTCCCTAAACCCTAAACCCTAAACCCTAAACCCTGAACCCTAAACCCTAAACCCTAAACCC